GAAGAGAAGTTACTAGTCAGAAACGAAATATACAAAGTATTATGTCACCACCATTTTTATCTTCCTCCATCTGAAAGTTGCTTTCGAATCAATCGACCACTCTAAACTCTGGCACTGCCTCGCTCTGAAGGGTGCGCCCTAGAAGTTTATTTCAATATTACAATCCCTTTATACTTATAACCGAATCCGAGTTGCAGCTTACGGGACATTTGCACCTGAGTTCAATACAGAAAGTGGTGTTGGACAGAGTTGTCCTCTCTCTCATAGATCCCATTTGGCTCACTGGTTGGGGACCTCGGGATGATCGTAACCTATGGTGATATGGCTATATAGTGATATGGCTCGGTTTCCTAAACAGTGGCGTTTCTGCATATTCTCAATTTCTCTGTAGCATTAGTGTACTGAATTTCTCCTTTTTCTATTCGACTCTACTGTCAACTTTCTTGTCTATCTCCTACTGTTAACCCAAAGGGGCTGCCAAAACCGGCACACGAGAGTTAACAGTTGTACAACCTGAAACTGCATGAAGATTATTGTACTGTGATTTGTTTGCCACTCATCAGGAACTCAGTTGACTGGGCAAAAACTGCCAGTTGACATCAGTCCCTTGTCTGAAATGGAGGCTACACGACAGACAAGTTATCTCAAACGGCATAAGGCTTCCGGCCCGACATCTGAGTTATCACCCTCTACCGCGACTGCGCAAATTCTGCCAGTTGATGCCAGTCCTCCATCTGAAATAGAGGTTTCACGGGAAATAAGCTGTCTCAAAAGGCATAAGGCCTCCAGCCCAGACGGGCTCTCCTCATCCGTTTTTAAGGATGGAGGTTTAGCATTGATTTCGATGTTAACGAAACTCCTAGGCTCAGTGTGGGAGAGAGAACAAGTTCCAGCTGAATGGTGTGAATCCGTCATGATACCGATTTACTAGAAAGGTAACAGATCCTCGTGTGAAAACCACAGAGGAATTAGTGTAATCAACATCATCTCTAAACTTCTTGTCGGCATCATACTCCGTCGATTGTCTGCCGCAAGTGAACGGTGCACGCGTGAGAACCAGACTGGTTTTAGACCCGGTCGAGGTTGTATCGACCATGTCTTCACTCTCCGCCAAATTCTGTAGCACCGACATTCTTTTCATTGACCCACCATCTCTTTTTTCCTTGATTTGAAAGCGGCTTTCGATTCAGTCGACCGCTCTAAAATTTGGTGCTGCATTACTATACAGGATGTGCCCGAGAAGTTTCTTTCAATATTACGATCGCTTTAAACTAGTAGTCGAAGTCGAGTCCGAGCTTACGGCGCTTTTTCGCCCGAGTTCACCACGGATTGTGGAGTTCGACAGGGTTGTCCTCNCATAAGGCCTCCAGCCCAGACGGGCTCTCCTCATCCGTTTTTAAGGATGGAGGTTTAGCATTGATTTCGATGTTAACGAAACTCCTAGGCTCAGTGTGGGAGAGAGAACAAGTTCCAGCTGAATGGTGTGAATCCGTCATGATACCGATTTACTAGAAAGGTAACAGATCCTCGTGTGAAAACCACAGAGGAATTAGTGTAATCAACATCATCTCTAAACTTCTTGTCGACATCATACTCCGTCGATTATCTACCGCAAGTGAACGAAGTCAAGTCTGAGCTTACGGCACTTTTTCGCCCGAGTTCACCACGGATTGTGGAGTTCGACAGGGTTGTCCTCCTTCCTTTCCTATTTAACTTTGTCATAGATTTGATTATGGAAACAGCTCTATCCTCGTGAGATAATAGTGGCATCCATTTGCTCCCAGATTGCAGACTGTCTGGTCTAGAATATGCAGACGACGTTGTGCTATTAAGTGAAGACCCAAGCAAGTTGCAAACTTTTCTGGATAGCTTGAGTACCAACGTAGCCATGTTCGGTATGCGTTTTGCACCTTCAAAGTGTCAAGTGTTACTACAAGACTGGGTTGGTCCAGCACCCAGCTTCACTCCAACTGAGGAAGCAATAGAGCAGGAGGATAAGTTTTGTTATTAAGGTAGCTACATCTCACCCGGTGGACGCATCACGGATGACGTGTGTGCTCGCATACAGAAGGCTCGGCTGTCATTTGCCAAATTGAGATATCTGTGGCGCCGTCGCGACATCCGGCTGTCTGTGAAGAGTCGAGTGTATGCTGCAGCGGTTCGGTCCGTTCTGCTATACGGAGCAGAAACTTGGCCATTAAGAAAACAGGACAAATATAGACTGTCAGTGTTTGAAGATCGTTGTCTGCGCAACATTGCACGAATCTGTTGAGGCAGCCGGACGAGCAATGCTGAGGTTAGGCTCAGAGTTTTAAGTAACCGCTGTCGCCCACTGGAACTAGTGGTCGACCGCCAAAGATTACGTTGGATGAGGCATGCGTTACGCATGTCACCCAATAGGTTGATACGGCGAGTGATGTTTGCCGAGGCGGTTAGTGGGTGGAAAAAAGCCAAGGATTGTCAACTTAAGACCTGGCACGAGGGTATGAAAACTCTGACCAAGAGACTCGGTCACATTAGTCACGTTGGGCTCCCTGGTTTGGGACTTCAGGATGATCATATCCTATGCTTAGACACAGACTTGCCTCAGATGGAAATCCCACCCCAATTCTCTCGCGTTGTGCCCTCGAATAACTTCCAGGTCTTACCAAATCCTTCTCCACCAGTTGAACTCTTCCTTGTCCTCAATGCCCGTTCAAATTAGCCACTCAAACGTGCGTACTGTGATGCGTCTAGGAAAACAGACCTATCTCATGCCCTCAAGACCCTAGCCATCGATGTGTGTTGTGTCCAAGGAACTCGCATTCAAGACTTCAGCTCCACCATCCGATTGATGTTCCCAGCAATCAGCATTATCATCATTGTACAATGAAATGCAGTGAAGCGATCTTCACCGATCGCTTCCAAACTCGTAATGCATACAAGGCTAGTGGTAAAATTTGAGGTGGACAGTGATTGGACCTATTGTGAGAAAGAGGAAAAAGAACCTCTATGATTAACACAGAGTGCACAATGGAACTCTGCTTACATACCGTTTCAGGTATTCTGGCCTGATAAGAATTGTTGAGGAATGGAGTACCTTGGAAGTATGTGTCGATCCTCAAAGAGTTGTATCTTCATACCTCAGGTCCGGTTAGGGCCTATGGCCGACATTCGTCCCCTCCTTTGCCGCCACCAGGTTGTTCATATCCCCATTCATCTTCAACTTTTTTGCCATGGACGATGTTCTACAGAATGCTTTGTCTAGTCTAGCAAACCGTGGAGACGAACTTCACCCAGAAGACAGAGTTTTTGACTTGGAATATGCCAATGACATCGCCTTGCTGGGTTACAACACACAGACAGTCCAACACGCTTTAACCCACTTGTCGACGGAGGTATCCAGGTATGATATGTGCTTTGCACCATCCAAGTGCAAAGTATTTGTTCAAGATTGGCAGGAGCCGGTGTCTGCACTCACCCACTGTGGTGATCAGCTGGAAGTGGTGGAGAGCTTTAAGTACCTCAGGAGCTTAATCACCGCCGAATGTGGTGTTGGGAAAGAGATAGCATCACGACTAGCGAAAGCTAGAGCAGCTTGCGACACCTGTGGCGCCGCCGTGATATCCGACTGTCCCTTGAGGGAACGGTGTACATCGTCACAGTTCGTAGCGTTTTGCTGTACGATTGCGAGACCTGGCTGCTCCGAGCGGAGGATGCTAATCGACTTTCCGTATCCGAACACCGATGCTTTGGAAGCATTGCTCCAGTCTGGTGGGAACATCGGGTGAACAATGACGAGGTCCGTCGTCGTGTGTTGGGTGTTGATAGTCGTTCTCTATCAGAAGTAATCGCTCTACACCGCCTCCGATGGCTTGGTTTCGTATTGCGTATGCCTGCCCATCGACTATCTTTCCGTGCTCTCTTTGCGCTTGCCGGGCAAGGCTGGAAAAAGCACCGTGGCGGTCAGACCATGATACGACCTGGCGTAGTAGTATGAAGAAGCTGGCTTCAACTTTGACTTCCACTGGTGCCCGCCTTCTAGGTTGGAGCCCAAGGGATGAGGATTATTGTTAACTGGAGACGCTGAAAGATATAGGCCGAATAGAACTCAGTGGCACGAATGCTATACGATCTGCCTGTTTAAGTCCCGTGCCGCGTAAAAAACTATAAACCAAGTCAAAAAATATCAAAAGTGTATGGCGAAACACAAAAAGAAATGGTTATTCTCGTGATTAACTTTAACTCTTCGACCCTTTTATTTACTTTGCTTGGTATATATACATATATATAATCGAACTGTGACATTTAACAAGCGATGGGATGTGTCTATTTCACACGCGTCTGACTGTGAGGTAAACAAATTACGGTACAAAAAGCTTTATAAAAAATAAATCGGTCTACAATTTGTTCATAGGCGGAATAGTAGTGCCAGGTTGCTCATGTAAAGATCGATTGTGCTAGGCGACAACTGTATAAATTTCCCACTATCTCGGGAGAGTTAGCTATGACCAAATAACAAGGAATGGCTCTTTCCGCTTTCAGCCAACAAATCTAGATTTATCGGAAACTCTTTTCCTTTGATCCATTTGCATAAACCAAGTAGCGGAATAGCTTTAGACACGGTATGAAAATAATGTAACGTCCTACAAAATGATCAGTTTTCCATAACTTTTGTAGACGAGGTTCTTAATGAATTCCTTGATTTTAGTGTTTACCGATTGTGCGTCCCCCAGCATGATCGTAACAAAGACATTTTTCAAGTCAGTTCATATACTGCTCTGACGAGGCCGAAGCACACATATCAGCGAGGACCAGGTATTTATCGGAAAATAGGGCAAATAGGCGCTGTTGTGCTTGTTTACATTTCACCTTACCAGTTGCCATGGTTAATGTTAGACTAACTCATCCCCCTCGATTGAAAAGCTTGTATATGTCCGAGTAGATAAACATTGTCGTTCCCCTTTTTCAGCATTGGAAATAAAAGCTCTCCGAAGTTACCTCGTTTTATGCAACGAAACATGTCGTCCGCAAAGCCAAATGGGCAGTCAATAGGGACTATCAGCTTTAGCACTAAAAATGATGAAGATATTTCTGGGCTGGATGAAGCCATGGAAACGTTCCGTATTTCGGCATCCAATAATGTGGTATGTTCCGTTCCCTATTTTCTCCCTATGTCGTTTTCTCCTTTTATTCTGATTGTGATGAATGCACTGGTTATTATCGGGTCGTTTTTGTCCGGGATCTTGCACAAGAGGATTGTAACAACCCCTGCCAACCATTGCGCGCATAGCTACGTATATATGATACACGTTCTACTCTGCTTGATGTTTGAATTGAACAGGATCTGTCAGATCACTGTACAGATTCTGGCTTGTTTAATAAAAAAAAACATGAACTCATCGTCCGTTAGCAGATAACTTGCCGATACAATTGCATCGATTAGTTTTTGATTCATATAAGCTGTTTATGGCTAATTGGTACATCCAGGTACTCAGGTTGTACGCTACAATGTAAGTGAAAAATGATGATAGACATAGATACCCACGTATATGCGTCGAGAATGGATGAAGATTATATTAATGTTATCGGTCACACTTGTCACTTACATTCATTACTCAATCAGAAAACGTTTCCTTAAGCGGACTTTTTGAATCTGATGATAAATCAGATGCAATGTTCTGGTGCTCAGGTAGTTGTGACCTCATGTGCAGGCATCTGCCCTCTTTGCGGCCCTTTGATCTAGACTGTGCAAACAACTTTATGCTACTAAGTGAAGATCCAGGTAAGTTGTAAGCTTCTCTGGATAGTTTGAGTGCTAGTGTAGCCATGTTCGGTATGCATTTTGCACCTTCGAAGTATAGAATTTTCCTACAAGATTGGGTTGGTCCAGCCCCCAGCCTCACTCTGATTGGAGAAGTCGTAGAGGAAGTAGACAAATTTTGCTATCTGGGCAGTTATCTCACCTGGTGGGCGCACCCCAGACGAAGTATCGGCGCGCATACCAAATGCTCAGTAGGCATTTACCAACTTGAGACATTTGTGGTGCCGTCGCGACATTCGGCTGTCTGTGAAGGGTCGAGTATATGCTGCATCAGTTCGGCCAGTACTGCTCTACGGTGCAGAGACTTGCTCACTACGGGAACATGATAAAAATAGGCTGTCGGTGTTCAAACAGTGCTGTCTACATCGCATTGCACGAGTCTGTTGGGGTAACCCGACGACCAATGCTGAGGTTAGGCGTAGAGTTTTAGGCAGTCGCGGTCGTCCACTGGAACAAGTAGTCGAACTCCATAGATTACGTTGGTTGAGGCATGTGTTACNATGTCACCAAATAGGTTGCCACGGCGAGCGATGTTTACCGAGGCAGTTAATGGGTGGGATAAAGCCAAGGGTGATCAAATTGAGACCTGGCATGAGGGTATGAAATCCCCAAGCAGGAGACGATGAAATAGGTCCTGTTCGGCTCCCTGGCTGGGGACCCCAAGAGGATGATCACTGACGGTTAGAGACACTGAGCGATATGGCTGGATGTCGCAAATAGTGGCGCTCATGCATCTAATCATTATTTTTATAATATCAGTCCATGCGAATCCTCTATCTTCCGCCTGAATTCGCTCTGAACACTCCCATCTCCATTCTGCTCTTTTATCGAAATGGGCGACCAAAAGACAGCAACCAAAGCCAGTGCACGAAAGTTCATGGTCAATGATTGTGAAAACTGAACTGAACTGAGAATTCTTGTTTGTATGGATTATCGCGGCTCGTGTGTGTTTGTGTGCTGCCAGAGGTAGAAGGATCAGGGTGGTTGAAAATTTCCTATGCCCATTGCATTCCACTGATCCGTTGCTGAGTGGTTCATGGATGATAGGTAGCCCTGACGTCGCCTGGTTCACTACCACATGTAATTTATTGAAGCTTTATGTGATCTGCCGCTCCAAGTTCCTGGATCATGGCTGCCGGTTTCCCTCTCACAATATAAACATGATAGTACCAAATCATCACTCTCGGAATCATGCTTATGTTCCCCCCTCCACCGGCCTTAGGTGGCTGGTGTATGGTTTGGGGTATATTTCATTGTCATTATCGTGATAGTGCCGAGTGAAGTTTTACTAGTCAGCAATTGTGGACACCCGGCTCAACTTTATTCTCTTAGATCACTGCAAAAGAATGTGCCTTTCGTTATTTATTTACTTTCACACGTTTGAATCCACACTATGTACCAAACAAATCATGGTACAATAATCTTCATAAAAAGGAAAACGTGCCACGATTTGCATGTA